CAATGCAACAATGGTGGTTTCAAAGACGTAACTTTGCAGGTATTAAGTAAATTTTTAATATTAATGTTTTATTAATTTTGATGTTATTGATCTTAACTTCTTCATTTTGCCTGTTTTTTTAGCGGAAGCAACAACAATACTTACCCCTTGGGCCAATGAAATTGTAAAAGAAAACAAAAAAACTTTTACTAAGTGGGATGTTCGCATGATCTCAAATACGAAATGCGAGGTCAAAAAGGGGGCACAAAATGTGATTGTTGATTTCCAACATATGACATGTACATGTAGGCTATGGGGAACTTGATGGGATACCTTATGGTCATGTCATAAGATGTTTAACAGTGAACAATTACCAAGACTGCTCGAGGTATGCATTAAATGCTTACTTTACCGAAACATTGAGGAAAACGTATGAGGAATCAATAAATCCTTTGCCAAAGCCATCCGAATGGGATATCCCCGATGATTTGATGATTGTTAAGCCACCTATAATGGATAAACGTCAGCCAGGCAGACCAAGAAACACAGACCGCATTCCATCCCAAGGCAAGGGTCCAATTAGAAAAGAGTGTTCTACATGTGGTCAACTAGGACACACGAGAAACAATTGTACTAGAAGGGCGTCCGGTAGTGGAGCACGTCACACAATTTCTACTGCAGAAATGACATTTAATATTGGTGGTTCAGCGAGTTGCTCACAAACCTATGACGCTGATTTTGATATAAAACAACCTTGAAATGAATAGTTGTTAACTTATTATGTATTGTAATTTTTTTATTAAATCTTACAAGACATTGCTATGCTTTCATATTTTAGTTTAGTTTGTAGATTATAACAATTAATGAAGCTTTTATATTATAAAATTTAGTTTGCAGATTATAACAATTACAACATGTTATTTAAAAAAAACAACAAACGATCCTTTTGCAACCTAATCTGTATCATGATAATATTACAACAATTTTGTAACTAATTTTTAAACTCAGGGAACTGCAATGGGTACTTCTCTTTCTCCATTGTTATATAGTCATCCCTAATTCTCATTTTGTCTTCCAAACGATCCTTTTGCACCATAATGTGTATCAACTGCTCGTCCTTCTCAGCAAGCCATTTTTCAGTCGTTTTGATTGCCTTCTTAGTATTTTTTATCCAATCTTCATGCTCTTTGATTTTGTTTTTATTGAGGTCTATCCATCCTTGAGCTTGTTTGCATTCCGATGCAATATCATTACCACGTTGAGTGAGAAGTCGGGATGACTCTTTGTCCTCTTCTTGTTGTTCTTCAGCCTTCTTCAATTCTTCAAAATTTTCATCTGACATATATGGCCCGGCTGAAGAGGGTGTAAAAAAAGGGTCGACTGAATCACAGTAGTAACAATCTACTTCGTTGCATGAGCAAACTTCGAATTTGTGTGAGGAACTCATAATAAAGTCGACATTATAATAAACTGGTGCTATAAGTGGTATTTATACATACTAGTCTAAATGCTACCATTTCGTAGTCAGAGTTCTAATTCATAGTCCAACTTTGAAATGACTAGACAATAATGACAAGTCACTGCAGAAAGCTGCAAATCGTAGTCAAACTCTTAAGTGACAAGACATAAATGACTGTTTGACATGATAAGTCACTGCAGAAAGCTGAAAATCGTAGTCCAAATGCAACCATTTCGTAGTCAAAGTTGTAATTCATAGTCCTGTATTTATTTATATAAATAGATGTTTAAGATCTAAAAACCAAACACCCAAATCACCTAAACGAAACGAACTCCCATATTTAGAAATGTCGTCGAATGCAACAAGTTCTTCGAATGAAGTACCTGGTTCCAATTCTGAAAGGTCATGGACGACAAACGAGGTGTTGGTTCTTACAGTGTTAAGGATGGTGTATCGTTACTTGCTCCCCCGCATTGCCTAGTAGGTGATGAATGGACTCGCATAACAGCTTTGTTCAACCATGAGATGGGAGAAGGACAACAACGAGAACAATCAGATGTTGTTACGAAATGGATGGATGTAAAGGAAGAAGTGACATGGTTCAATCGAGCGTGTAATTATGCGAAAAGTACCAAACTTCGTTGTCGAGACGAAGAAGAGTTCTTGGAAGTTGTTACAGATTTTTACATCTGTGAGCGTGACGGCAGAGACTTCGAATATGAGGAAGTTTGGAAGGTTGTAAAAAATAATCAGTATTTCATGTAGACCGCTCTAGGTTGGGTTTTCCGCTGCGCCCACCTCTACCATGAGAGCGACCACTAGACGACATACTAGACGAAGATTCGTCTTGTCTCCTAAAATGGTCCCCGTACTGGGGATGGAACTGATTTCCGTTCACCATATACATACTCTTGAAATGACATATAATAAAAAAGATGTCATCTCATCATCACTCGGTGACATTTTATTTCTTGGTGGTTGTCCCTCCTAAAAAATAGAACATATTAAAATTGCATATAAAAGTATAATAATGAATTTTATTAATAATTAAAAAAAATTTATAAACCTGTATCTTTGAAAAAATCTTGTTCACATCAACCCATTTCAATTTTTTTGTCCCACTCCATCGTTTCATCCGAGGCATGTCTCTATTTTTTCTCAATACAAATCCACACGCACGAACAGCCGGAAGCATCTCATATATCCATATCTACAATTTTTACAATTATAGTAATAAAAGTTAAAATTAAAAAAATTATCATAACAATAAAACCATTTAAATATAAGTAAATTTTTATACCCTAATTGGAGCCGTAAATCCTGAGACAGTGTATTTTAAAGTTTGACGACGCTCAGGAAGTGATAAATATTTATTTATCTTGTTCCATGTATCCTTAAGGTCATCATACGTAAAATCCCATTAATAGCTACCGCAAGCGAAACTAACAAAACAAAAAAAATTAGTTATAATATAACTTAACATTAATAATATAAAAGTATCAAAGTAAATAAAAAATACCTGTTCCAAACATCCAAATTCTCAGCAAAAAAAAACCAATCTTATGGCACGCGATCATTTATTTCTTTTCCTAAAAAACCTTCACATAAAATGTAAATCAAACATACTCTAACTGCATCGGCATCGTCAACTTCTAACAATGGTTGATTTAAAATAAAACTTTTCAGGTCATCGATTTTCACCGAACTATTTGTATGGTTCGGAAATAGCCGCTCACGCAATAAACATCTTTTTTTAGTACTAACTATTTTTTCTGACACTTTTTTCCCGATGTTTTTTGGATACTCCGCAAATTTCAACCCGGTTATCAAACAAAACTCTTCCGACCCATATACCAATTTCGTATCGGCTACTCTAAAATATGACCGTTTTATTCCATCTGGAGATAAAACAGCGTCCGGCCGTATCTGATGAAGGAACATTTGTGGAACAACAATCCGTCCCCTTGTAAACGAGGGACGTCCAACCAAACCAAATATTGTATCTCTAAATATTTCACGTCTCACACCATCTAACACTTCAAACACTTCCCATATGTTACACCCCGGTCCCTTTAAGTTTACAATAGCTTTCACATCGAAATAATTAGAATTATGCTGCAAAAAACACAATAACATATTAGAAAACTAAACAACTATTTCATTTTAAAATTTTATTATTAAATGCAATAATAAACATAATAACAAGGCAAATACAAATATTTAATAAATAATTAATATATTTACGCTAAAAAACAATAACATACTATAACAATTTTTCAACTTAAACGGTAACTATATAAACAATTTTCCAAGTAATACGACAAATATACAAACGATTTTTATCTTTCTAATTATATCAAATAACATTTTCTAACCATATAAACAAGAACAAACAATTTTTCAACTAAAACGACAACTAAACTAACAAATTTTCAATTTATACGAGAAATATACAAACAATTTTTAAGTTTCAAATTATATAAAATAACATATTCTAACCAAACATATTGTAAACCACTAACCAAACATATTGTAAACATTATTCTAACAATTTATTTAACTACTAACTTAAAAAAATAAGCATATCCTAACCATTTGACTAAATGTACAACTACCCGATGCACACTCTACGCAGTCTCTACTTGTACATTTATACAACCACTAACAAAATAGCATTTCAACTTCAAGTTTAGTAATAACAAATATTAAAACTATCAAATACAACAAAATTACCCTATCACAAACAATATAATTTCTTTTTTTTACACTAACTAATACAATAAATAATAAAATAATAAACATAAAAAGAGTTAAAATCTAACCATATTTTCGGGATTGTTGAAGTAATCGTCCATTTTCTTCAAGAAATCGTCAAAAGGAATCCCCGAGAGAGAGTTTTTCTATATTGAAGAGTGAAAAATGAGAAAAAAAAATCCTTTTATAGAATTTCCTGCGAAAAATCGCAGGTGTATAGTGAAAATCGCAGATGGACTTTTCCATCTGCGAATGTACAAGTACCTAAAGCACAACTGTACTTTAGGTACTTGTACATTCGCAGATGGAAAAGTCAAATCGTAGATGGACCATTCTCATCTGCGATTTTGAAGGCCATTTTTGCAATTTCGATTTTTTTTGACTATTTTCCGCAAAGTGATTAGGATAATTGGCTATTTTTGTCATTTTCTCTTAAGTATATTATTATCATACCTACTTCCATATTAAAACATTAACACGGTAGATAGTCAATCAAATTATCTATAGATTTGTAACATTTCCCCAGCTCACTTCAATACTTCATCCTAAAGTCTATCTTGCATTATCATATATTCCATCTATCAAGATTAGAAAATTTTCCTTTTATTTTTCCTTGATCAATAATCAAAATAGGGAAACCAAAAAGCAAGAGCAAAGACATGAGAGATATTTGATATATACACAGATGTACTTTGACTAGTTTAATTTTAAGCACAATCCGGTGGTAGCCAAGGTAAGTGATAAGAAAAGCAAAGTGGGGACTCAAATATGAGGCTTAAATCTCCCCACAATCCTCCACAGGATAAGACCACAATCTCGAATCCACTATCCCCATTGGCTCTCACTTCCTATATGCCCATTTTCGCCCATCACTCCAATTCCGTGACTCCAAAAAGCTCCAATCTTCAACATCACCACCTCCAATGGCAGCCACACTATCAACCACCATGGCCATGCTTAACGCCAAGTGCATGACCTCCGCCAAGCCCTCTAAACCAACCCCCAACAAACCCATCTCTCTCATCTCCGTCCAAAACCTTCCCAAATCCCTAACCTCCTCAAAACCCGCCACCATCTCCCTCACCGGAACCGCCATCGCCGGAGCAATCTTCTCCACCTTGAACTCATGCGACCCTGCTTTTGCCGTACAACAGATCGCCGACATTGCAGAAGGAGACAACCGTGGAATCGCTCTTCTCTTACCTCTCGTTCCAGCAATCGCCTGGGTGCTTTACAACATCTTTCAACCTGCGGTTAACCAGATCAACAAGATGAGGACCAAAGGAGTGGTGGTTGGGCTTGGAATCGGTGGTGGTTTAGCAGCATCGTCTGGGCTGTTTGCTACGCCGGAGGCCGCCGCCGCCGCTGAAGCCGCTGCTAATGACAATAGAGGGCAACTTCTTTTGATTGTTGTCGCACCTGCTATTCTTTGGGTGCTCTACAACATTTTACAGCCTGCTCTTAACCAGATCAACAAAATGAGAAATTGATCAATCATATATATAAATTGGGTACATTGAACTAGTAATCTTGTAATCGCATTTCTTGTTAATCAACTTCTCTTCGAAAACATATATTTATATATCTTCTTTTTTGCCATTTCTTATACTCAACCGGATTAGATTTATTATGATTCAAATAAGTTACTATTACAAGATCTTCGTTCCAAGAAGATACAACATACATGCCATTTAGGCTACAAGTGATGCTTTTTTAATCACTATTCTTTTTTCCGGGAATCTTTGAGTTGTCCCCTCTTTCTGATTTGGAGGCAGAACCCTAGGCGCCAAGAATCCACGGCAAACTCCGGCAACGAGTTTAGCAAAGCCCAGATGACGGAGTGAGGCCAGTAAGGTGTGCAGCGTGGATCATGCCCCAACCACCGTAGCCCCGCCTTGGCATATCCGGTTGGTGATGGTACAAAAAACGAAGATCTTTTGATAGACGCCATCTTCGTTGCTACGTATAATGGAACCTGCAACCAATTTTTTTGTATCAAACTCTGATACATTTGATAGTTCCAAGTAAAAAAGTTACCTGACACTGGACGTCGATCCCACTGTTCTTGTATTCAACATACAAACACCTTGAAAATTGATCGATATACCTAAACAAACAACAAACGAAACACACGAGACCTTTTCAAATGTAATCAAATTTGAATACAGAAAGAATAAAGATGTAAAACTTACGCTTTTGTTGCAGCGTAAACAGCATAAAGAGGATCTGATGGGATGACGATAGCAGCACCAGAGCCAATATTCACGATTGCGCCTCTCTTTCTCTTCAACATCGCCGGTAATACTGCTTGTGTCACTTTAGTAGTTGCTTCAACATTAAACCTTAATCAAATTATTCAACAATTCATCATCGACTTCATGGAAAACCTAGCGTAAGGATATGAAATCCCAGCATTGTTTATCAAAACCCCAACATCTAACCCCTCGATTGCCTCAGTAATCTTCTTGATACCTTCCGATAAATCACCGGTAAGATCAAAAATTACATTCCTGATCTGGGTTTTTGAGAATTTGGATTGAATCTCAGAGGAAACGTCCTCTAGTTTCTTAGGGTTTCGACCCACCAAGATCAAGTTAAGACCTTTTTTAGCTAATTCAAAGGCAAAAGCTTTGCCAATGCCATCTGTGGAGCCAGTAACAAGTGCCCATGATCCATATTTCTTGATGTTCTTTGGAGGTCTTAAGAAGTTAACGTAAACCCATGTGAGAATTGAAACTGAAATCTGTAATATAGATAAAGAACCCAAGAGAAAAAGAACAATTACCCATAAAGGTTGGGTTTTTAGGGTTTCCAAGAAACCGATCTCCATTGTTGTGTATGTGATTTGGAGTTGGATCTGAGATATGGGTTTTGTAGATGAGAGACTATAATAAATAAGGTGAGTAATGAGGTGATGGTTGGCAATATTGGTTTGAAATTTAAATGCTTTTGAGTCTTGACCATTATTAAGGACTGAGTTTTCAAGAAAACACGCAACTGCATATTTTGATGAAGCTCGAGATGGCAAGTATTCAAACAAGTTTGTTGAAGCTGATGAACGAAAAAAGTAAAACTATATTCTAAATTTTTTGTTCCAATGGGGATGTGGGGATTAATAATATTCTAAATGACTATATATGATAATTAGTTGTAAATGCAATACGTCTTGAATCCAGAATTTTAGTTAAATACTTAAATTTATATCAACTCGTTACTTTATGTTGCTACGTCGTTTTTAAGAAATAGTACAAAATAACTATCTGTTATGAAAACTTGGTAAGTTTTGCAGTACTTTTTTAGTTGCAAAACTATTTTTAATTTTTTCCGAAAAAAATACTTTTGAAAGTTGTCATATTTTTTTAATACATAAATTTTGAAAATGTTTTACACTACAAAAAAAAGGAAAAAAAAATAGTTTTTTAAGGTAATTTGCGATGGACAGAAATTTTCAAAAACTTTTGGAATCTCAAGTTGCAAAATTTATGGTCATTTTTATTATTGATAAAAAAATTTTTTTGATCAAATTGTTAAATGTAGATGTGGCAATTTGCAAGGTTTCTTTACTAGACCGTGGAGCAACATCATCCGTTCTTCTAATCAACTTGCGGCTAGAGGATTGAGTTGGGTTGTCATGTTCAAAAAATGGTTGGTAATGATCACTTGACCAATTTTTGGAAGATATTTGATGTTGTTATTTGCATATTAAAGTTCGTTTTCTAAGATTTTTGCTTTGGATACTTCTAAAGCTGTTATGATCGAGTCAATAAGTCTGATAATGGAAAAAACCATTTGGAAATAGATATTTTAGTTATCATCATACAACGAATAAGAAGGCATACGCACAACAAGTTGCGCCGCTAAGCCCTTTTGTATGGTAAAACCAATTCTTTTGAAGACTATATCCATAGATCTAGGGATATAACATTGCTATGCATGATCCGTTGTAGTCTACTAAGAAGCTCTACCGCATTCGGCGCAAGGAAGCCAAACGTATCATATGCAAATGGTATGAACGCGTGTTGATTTTCCATACACGGTTTCTCATGTTTGGTGACCTTGCATGTAGCAGCTTTTAATGCAGCTTGTCCCACCGTGAAACCCCCGACCCTCAAACTTACGAGAGGGGATACCCCAGTAAGGTCCACACATGCGTGTTTCCCTCCAACCCATCCAAAAATCAAAACGTCGACCGGTCTAAGGGTTGACCTTCCTTCTGTCGGGTCAGTCAGGAAATTCACAGGAGCCTCTTTCTTGGCGGAAACTCCGGCACGCTTACATATGTCGACCAAAACATCCCTAACCATATCGTGCCTGTATTTAAACCCCGGGAGTTCTTTGCAATGAACTGCATGCTCGCCGAAAGAGTCCAAACATGCCTTGCGGCACACCGGACATATCCCATCGGCTGGGAATATTGGAATCATGAGTCGATATCTGTGACAACCCGGAAACTTCAATCTTGTACAATTAATCAATTCAATCATTATTCAACTTGTTTTGTCGATTTCTGGTGCTATTTAAGGGTTCATTTAAGTGTTCTAAGCTTAAACTTGACCAAGGTTGAGATTAGGAATGAGTCATCATGCCATATAGTGAGGAAACCGGGCCATACACGCCTCTTGGAGGAGTGTACGGCCGTACACATGGGTGTGCGGCCGCACACCCACTCCCTTGGCAGCACACTCACTTTTGGGCAGGCACCCTTACTCCTATATAAAGGGTAGCCTCCTTGCTTTCATTCCTTTAGCACCTTGGCAGCACACAACATCATTTCCTCTCAAGTTTCTCCAACTTTGAACCTCTCAAAGCTTCAAGAACGTGAGTACTTCTTCCTCTAGCTTACAATTCATGAAAGACCTCTCTATCCAAAGCTCTATGTGTGCAAAAATGACATGTTCTTCGCATTTGGAAGTGAGTGCGGCCGCACACCCTCTTAGGGTGGCCGCACACAATTAAAACACCCTCCAAAGTGAGAGTTTAACTTCCATATTCGATGTAGATGTGCCCTTAGCCTTGCTACACCTTGGAATGGACTTTTGGGCATCATTTTGAGGAGTGTACGACCGCACACACCTGTGTACGGCCGCACACACACTTGTACGGCAGCACACTCCAAGTGTGCGGCAGCACACCCAAGTGTGCGACCACACACTCTTGTGTGCGACCATACTCTCATTCTAGGACCATAAACCCACCTCTACGACCCTAAACTTGTACTACAACTAAGTTTGGACCAAGAACACTTCATGGATTGCAAGTATGGACCTTGAAACCCCCCAAGAACACCTTCTATCATGGGTGTACGGCCGCACACCCCTTGGGTCGCACACCCATGGCCGCACACACCTTAAAGGTGGCCATATACTCCCCTCATGCAATCCTTTAGGGCCCCAACACTTAGTGCAAGTAGTCCCAAGTTCCTAGAGTGGGTTCTCCATCACCTTTAGTGGTGAAATACCTCCATTTGACTCCTGTATGTGTCATTGCATGTAATTTAGGATTAAATCGTGTTCAAGGCTTCACTTGAACATCCAGCGTGTCGTGTTGATCCTTCATTCAAATCACCCGAGGTGAGTTCATACCCCTACATTTTCCATGTTTTAATGTTTTCAGGGGGGAATACAAGCCAAACTCTAAGTATTTTGCTAAGTTTTAAACTTATTAATGCAGTTCAACGATTTCCACGTTTAATAACATATTCGGATATTTTATCTCTTTTTGTAATATGTTGAGCATAAGGGAAACTTCTATTTTGAAAATCCAACTTCACAGCTTTCAGAAAGGTTTTTACAAAGCAACTCTAATAAACTATAATGGGTATAGTTTGGGATAACCCTCTAGGCAGTCTCTAGTTAATCAGATTTCATAAATGAATATATATAAACTATAGCAGATCTAGTTTATGTTTATATATTTTCTCAGGAGTATAAAGTACTATTATTCAAGGATAATTATTGTTTTATACTGTTTCTCGCTAGTAAACTAGATTATACAGAATTGTGAGGCTCTACTTCAACATTGTACTCTTAGGTGTATAGTGATAAATCCTTTTAGTATAACCAGAGTCTCCTGGAGGGAGAGCGTGAGATTTGTGAATAGATCTATTCGGGACTGACAATCCCACACCTGAACTGCTAGCTATAGTTAGACGGGCACGCCTGGGGTGAACAAATGTCATTTAACTTAACGCCTGAAGAACGTTATAAAGGTCTCTCGGTCATATCAAGTATAGTTATACGACTCGCAAATAAGTATAAACAAATTTTGTTTACGGACTCTACCCTTCATTAGTTTTATTTTGAGTAATAAAACTACTTTTATATATACTGATAGTATTCAGGGATTTCTAAACTGGCATCTCTACCTCTAGGGCGGACAGCATGTTTTCTAAAACTGATGGTTTATCTTCTACTAATAGATACTTTTTCAATACTACCTTTCATAAGAAAATATAGGATTTTCTTGAGAAACACTTTTCAAAAGAATCAAAGAACATTTTTCTCTAAAACTAAATGCTTATGAACTCACCCGCTTTATGCTGATATTTTTCTTCAAACTGCTTGTATTCTCAGGGAATTAGTAGACAGGTACTTCCAGGAATGTGGTGAAGTTGGAGCAATAAGAGCCATGTTTTCTATATTACACATACTTTTGATGTATTTAAAACAAGTTTCAAAATGATGTAAACACTTTTCATATTTGTATTCAATGTTTGGTTGTGTTTAGTATGCTTGCTATACAAATGTTGTGATACTACGCATGACGTCCTCCACCCCGGAACGTTTCCGCCATCACGGTTTCGGGGTGTGACAATATCTGAGGATGGTACGATACTCCACCGGAGACATATGTTGGCCAAGCTCATCTATAGAGATAGCTAGAAGAAAATCTTGAGCATGTGGCGCACGTAAACACTGGAAAACTGCTTTCTGTCGAGCCGTCATATTGAAATTCACTTCCATATCTTGGATAATTTTACTAAAAAGGGCACTCGCCAGTGTATTCTGGGATTTAGGGGGGGGGGGGCGGTGTCCTTAGTAATAAAACTGCTAAGGTCAATGTCCGGAAGCTTGTTACGAAGAGAATCTAAGGCACAAGCATAATCAGAATCCATACCATAAATGTCGCTATCCCGTAAGATGTGGTCTTGCAATACCGAAGATTGGGCCCTTGAGGCAACAAAAGCATATGAGGTAGCCTCTACTGCCGAGTATAAACCCAAACCACCAAACCAAATGGGTAGGGAAGCAAGTCGTCACTGTAAGTCGCCAAAGAAGGGGCCACCACAAACCACAATGTCCTCAATCGCCCCCGCGTAATCCATTATCGAAGAACAACGCCGCCTCCTCCATGAGATTTTGCAAAACTTGGTGATATATGACAGATGGGTGAGAGTTTTGGCTCCTCGGGAGAGTTTTGGCTTCGATTACATTACTTATTGATGATGACATTTTGTTGGTAAGTGATTTCCTATCGAGATTAATATGTTGGTGTTGAGAATTCGGTTAAACATCCAAGTTTAATGAGAGAGTTAAATTAAGTGGCATGTCAAATTGATATTTACTGGATATGAAATTTAATGGTCATTGAACTTTTTAATGGAAAAAGATTCTTTTATTTATTTAAAATATGTTTTATTGAACTTTATAGAGTTCAGTCCAAAATAAAAACATTGTTCATGTCCTAAGTTAACATCCATTAAAAACATCCATTAAAGGGGAGTGACATTGATTCTTTTCTTCTATGACCCTTATAATTCTCATATTGAGACAATAAATCATATCCTTATCTTTTTTTATCCTTATCTTTTTTTTGAGCGACATGATTTTA